GGAGGGAGGGAGGGAGTGGGCCTTAGCTTGCGTACTCATGCGGAAGGAGGGCTAAAAAAACCCCAGCAAGCGACATTTTTTATGGAAAACTTAAGCTATTCACTGACGTCCTCATTCACCAACAACGCGCAGGCCAGCTCCAATCGGGTGCGACAAAAATTCGTTTATTGAGAATGCTTAAACGCTTATGCAATAAAAGATTTTGGAGGACAAAAAAGTTTCACTCCTTTTTTTATAGAAACGTTCAGTAAGCAGAGAATTTGATGGGGAAGTATACCGTCGGGGCCGCAACCAAAAGAGTTCGATTTTTGAAACACGCAAAGCCTGGGGGCTCTTTATAAATTTGGACTGATTCGCCTTTATACCTTAACAAGTATTAAGCAAGAGTTTTCTTAAATGTTTTGCCCAACTTTGCTGGTTGTTCATGCTTGATTAATATGAATGCTGTGTTACAGTAGGCTGGGTGGGTAACTTAACCCAAATGGGTGGCTCAAAACTCGGATGGTTAGAGCGTTAACAGTACTCTAGCCTTGCTCATGCTCTCTTGGCATAGGATTCCACCGAGGTCGCAGAGGTTTGCCCAATCAGGATGGATGAATTATTCAAATCCGTCAAAACTTCAGCTTATATTAGACAAGCCCAGGTTCCCCTGCCGGTAGCATGTCCTACGTTGTTTTTATTTCATTCCACCAGTCTCCTTTAACCGCTGACCTCATACAGCTATCAGTGCCTTTTATTGTGGTCTTAAGCAATTTCTAATGGACTCTAGTGTACAGGAAAAACACATGTCTTTTGCATACACAGGCAATTGCTGTTTTTATGAGAGGACTCTGTATGTCTTATTAAAGTTATTCGGCCTTGACTAGGTGATAGATTTGAATATAATATAAAAAAATGTATAGTCTGAGCGTTCATAGTGGTTTAAATTTTCTGAGTAGGCTAGAGTTACGGAGCATTTGTTTCCAAAAATAATTGGTCTCTGCCTTCCATGAACAGCCTCTGCGCCCAAAGTGTTCTCTACCCAATAACCCTCTGAACGCAGGAATATAAATGTCATGCGTTGAGTTGAAATTGTAATTAATGTACCGGCACGCAGGGCAAGTTTGTTCAAGGTCACTTCTGTAGCCTAGTGCCTCGCATGCATGCTGTGCCGTTGTGCGTCAACATTTTTAAACGCTGAAAAAGATCAGTCTGCGCGCCCTTCCGCAAATTTAAAACGAACTCTTATTTGCTTCCCTATGTAGAACCGAGTTGTTTTATTTGGGCCGAAGCGCTTTTACTTAACCTTCTACTGGAAAGAAGAGTTGCGTTTAAATATTTGGACTAACACAGAGCCTCTCCCTAGATGAAAGCAAGTTTGAAGAATCCGCTGTCACGGCTTGCAAGGGGTGCAACGCTGAGGACGCCCCATATAGAGGGTAGCAGTCTGCCACATATTATGTTTGACCATGTACTATAAGAGCGAAACTTCCGGCTACGACTATTCCTACCTACACACGCCCGTGTAGGTCATAGCTGTAAACCTTATGTGCTGCTGGCAAAAAGCTTGTTACTGTAATCTGTCATCTGTACCTGAGCCAAGTTGCGTATGGAGCTAAGGGGGCGGGAGCAGGGTACGTAATACAAACGCTCACCATTAAGCAAGTCCGCAAAGCAGTAAAAAGGCCGTATTAAGCAGGCTTGAATTCCACCGGCCTACTCTTGTTAGTCGGTTGTCGACGCGATGCGCTCCTGATACGCTTGCTTCAACCTTCCCCCCCCGCCGACTCCTTTTTTATTTCGGTTCGCGCCGCGGTACAAAAAGCCGGTTTAACAATCGTTCTGTTTGAACATTGAAATTTGTCGTCTGACACAAATTCTAACTGCAATCTATTTCGGTCTCCAACAGGCGAAATGAGTTTTAGTTTATCCCACCGACTGCAGCTGTTCCGGAGATATTTTTTCGCGGATATCAGAGGTTCGCTGTCAGGGTTTACCACGAAGAGTTTAGGCGAAGCAAACGACGAATTTGATGTCCTGGCAGATCTTCGTTTCGGGGTGCTTACCAGAGTTCTCTGGGTAAGAAGAAACGAACTTTCTCAGCTCGGACAGTTCCACACCATTCCTCCCCCAGACCATACTGTATTCAGTGGATGCCACAACCCTCGACCCCACTCCAATAGTTATGCTGGCAGTTGCTCCCTTTAACTTTATGGGCGTGACCTTCTCATTATTGCCTTTCGTATTGTCTGGATTAGCGGTCACTTTTATCTCATAAAATATTAACTTGAAATTTTGAAGGGTGCT